GACAAACCTGGAGGGCCCTATTCACTTCGCTGGGACCGTAGGAACAACGATCCCTGGAGGAGTGTCGAGGATAGAAATCCTCGGACGCTGACTGATTATCGTACGAGGGGAAGAGAGAGAGACGATGAATCATGGCGACGTAGGGATGATGAGATAGACCGAGACCGCAGAGATCGCGAGCTGTTTGTGCGAGCAAGGAGGCTAGATGATTACCCTCGAAGCCCTCACTATGAGGCCGATCGGGGTAGAGGCGACTCCCGCGGCCGATGGGAGAGGGACGACGAATACGAGAGATCGGACCGAGATGGATATAGGGACGACAGATACGAGAGATCGGACCGAGATGGATATAGTGACGACAGATACGAGAGGTCGGATCGAGATGGCTACAGAGGAAGTAGATATGAGAGAGGAGATCGGGACTGGGAACGACAAGATGGGTCACGCGGACGGTTTGAGCGCGGGGGAGATGCGAGAGAGTAGCGCGACTAGACGCGGGGATGGTACAACCGAGCGGACCGACGCGATGAGTCACAAGGACGATATGACTCGGGGGACCGCCGGAATGATTCGCGAGGGCGATATGACCAAGGAGGGTCTGAAGGAGACCGGCGCAACGATTCGCGCGGTCGGAATGAGAGAGGGGGATATGGCGTCTCATCAGAACCATTTCCCAAGTCGCCTGACCCCAAGGCGGCCAGAAATTCGATGTCTAGAGGCGCAGACGACAGGGCATCTACTCCCAGGAACTCATGCATCTACTGTAGAGGAGAAGATCATATCAAGAGGGATTGCCCGGACCTCAAACGGGCAATAGATGAGGGACTTGTCGTGCTTGACGACCGCAAGTACGTCAAGTGGGCAGATGATCTGGGAGATGTATCGATGTTTCCTTCGATGAAGGAGAATGTTGAAGCAAGGAGAATAAAGACGAGTAAAGGAATGGAGCCGGTCAGGAGCCAGAGCATCAATATAATCTTTGAGGGGGATATCGCGACCACACTCATAAGGGTGGCAGCCACCAAGTCGGCAAGAGGGTCTACATCGAAGAAGACTGACACGGATTACATGATGACGGCGAAGGACGGGCAGCGGGTCGATGGAGAGGAGGTTATCCTTTCACCGCGAAAGAGGGGAGTGAATAAGTTCTTAATGAAGAGTTCGTTGGACGAGATTGACACGGTTGAGCCACTGAGGCGGGCCCTTCGGCAACCAATGCAGTGCTTTATTCTGGAGTACCTTGCGGCATCGAAGCCGGCTCGTGATGAATTACAGATGATCACGCGGAAGACTCGCATACCTCTATCAGAGGAGGGTCAGGGGGCCCCTAAAGCGGAAGCTTCTACAGTAGCGGTAACGGGGGTGACTGCCAGAGCGGATCGCATGGCGACAGTCCTTCTCGATGGAATGGAAGGTGTGCCTCCAGACAAGGTTTATATACTTGGTAGCGGGGACGTAGAGACGATTATAAACGATGGAGTGATACTCGATGTTGTGATTGATAACGGCAGTGAGGCTGTCATCATAGACGAGGACCTGGTAGTACAAGTTGAACTGGGCCTCGATAGGTCATACCTATTCGAGATAGAGACGGTTGATGGGAGAAAGCAACAGATCACTGGGGTTTGTCACAAGGCAGCCATTGAGGTCCAAGAGGTAAGGGTGACCCTGCCTGTCTTTGCAGTCAAGAACTGTAGCTCCGACCTGCTCCTGGGTCGAACGTGGCTGAGCCACGTGCATGCGGTGACGATAGAGCGACCTGATGGGAGCCAAACATTGTCCATTAGGAAGCGAGACGGGACACGGGTGATGATTGAGACAGTGGAGCCTCGGGACTCGAGGAACAGAGCAACTCTCGCTGTGGGGGCAAGACCCAGTGATCAGATTAAGTCGTTACCCATCTCCGGCCGCGCGGTGCGATTTCGCGAGAAGAGATATGGACCACTGCTCACGGAGGAAGAAGGTCGGATCGTGGAGGTGGAAGATTTAGGGAGTCGGCTAATAGTGAACGGTAACTCGTACCCAAAGGAAAAAGATGAGGAATTTGGCGGTGTGGTATCCGTGTCTTTTTTAAGGGCACGGCCCCCTATGGGGGGCTGCCCAAGCGACAAAGGCGAGTAGCTCAAAAAGTTAAGCCAGCGGCGGTGGGCCGCGAGCGATCGGCACTGGAAGGGGTATCAGAAGAAGAGATCGCGAAARAAATCAAAGAAAGAAAGAAAAAGGAGCCACAACGCCTAACGGAAGAGAGAATAGCAGGGATGGACATCGGAGATGGAAATCTGACCCCACAGGAGCGAGGACGTGTGATAGAAACTCTGAAGACATGTGATAAGGCAATAGCTTTCAGCGACGCGGAGCGCGGTAGGATTGACCCTCGATACGCTAAGCCAGCAAGGATTTACACGATACCACATGTTCCCTGGAACGACGCAGGATGGAAATACGCCCAGAAGGAGAAGGAAAAAGTTATCGCTTTCCTGAAAGAAAAGATGGTTTCCCACGTTGCGGAACCGTCTGATAGCGCTTATGCAAATCGATGGTTCTTCCTACGAAAGCCGAATGGCAAGATYYGATGGATCSAGGAYCTTCAGAAGGTCAACGCGGTGACGATACGAGACGTGGGCTCCGTGCCACACGCCGATTTACTGGCAGAAGGCGCAGCAGGTAGGTCGATCTATTCGGTCTGTGATCTGTTCTCAGGCTATGATGAGGTACCGCTTGACCCTAGGGACAGACACCTCACGGCTATGCATACGTCATTGGGACTAATACAGATGATGGTTATCCCTATGGGTTGGACTAATGGGGTAGCCGTTTTTCAGAGAGCCATGGTAGCCGTCCTCAAGGACTTCATCCCTAATAAGGTTGAAGTTTTTCTGGATGACTTTCCTATAAAAGGGTCAGTAGACAGGGATGAGACAGAGGTTGTACCTGGAGTTAGAAGATTCGTCGAGCAGCACCTAAAAGATATTTGCGCGGTACTCGAGCAGCTGGACGATGCGAATTTAACAGTCAGCGGAACCAAGAGCCGATGGACCGTCTCGGCTATTAAGATCTTGAGTTTTATCTGTGACTCGAGAGGGCGCCGAGCAGATCCGGCGAAGTTAGACAAACTTATGAACTGACCGTCACCGTTGCATAGCCCTACCGAGGTCCGGCAGTTTCTAGGAGTGGTCGGTTACTGACGTATATTCATACGGGGGTATGCGGAGAAGGCTGAGCCATTGAGGTTACTCCTTCGAAAGACTGAAAAGTTCTATTGGGGCTCTTCATAGGAACTCGCTATGCAAAAACTTAAAGACGAATTTAAGGAGGGAGGACGCGTGTTGGGCGTGCCATTCTTTGACGATGAGACCGAGAGACCCTTCATAGTATCCACGGATGCTGGACCATGTTCAGTGAGTGGTTTGCTGTCTCAGAAGGACGCTCGAAATTTCTACTAAAACCAAAGAGTTGTTTTTAGATAGTTTCTGAGTCTTGAGTTTTCGTTTTTGATATTGTCCAGTAAATATTCAACAAACACACTTCCCTAAAGGAAGTGCTGCCAAAATTTTCCTGATTTTCGTATCGTTACTGGACGTTAATGCTAAGTAACTTTGAGTGCGATACGGAGTTGATCTCTGTTAACTCGAAAGATGATGCCTGCCTTGGTTTTGTGACGCATGTCACTGTTACCTGTGAGTGCTCTTAGGGGTCTTGAGTTTTATCAACTTCTTCTATCGAATTGATAGCAGGTTGGTTTGCAACTCAACTCCTACCCACCGTGATACCCACGCCTAGATGTCTGTGATCTTGTAAGCGAAAGACATTTCCGTGTGAAAGAAATTTTCATTTCTTGGAACCTTTTTTGAATGACCATGCAAAAGTTGTGTGAATCAAGACGGGCGAGAGGGGTTCGGAAAGAGGCATAAGAGACATGAGTCTGGGAACAAAGGGGTTGACCACATTTGTGGTACTTGCGTGTGAACTTTCGTTGGGCTTCATGTGTGTGCAGGTATGTATAGGAGCAAGGATTCGCTCCTCGATTAGGGATGATATTCTTGAATGAATGTGGGGTGTAAGTGACAAGTTTCAACTATGACTGTGAGAATGAYTCCCCCTGATTTCCTTTGAGACTTCCCCCTTTCTTTTTCATTTTCACTTTCTCTTGTTACACGCATCTAGCGAAAAGGCAGGAATGGTCGAGCGCAAGGTTTAGCGGTCGACCTTCRGCCGGACTAATACTCAGCTCGGGTACGGCGAATTGCTCGCTAACCCGAGACTACCCTCTATTATCTTTCAACAGGGAAGGATAATAAATTATTGGTCGGACGTTGGTCCTGAACCGAGAATTAGAGGTCTTTGCCTAGGACATCCCACGTTCTGGTCCAACACAAAATGGTTTTCCCCATGAGACGGAATTACGCCCCTTGCCTATCATCACTTATTGCCTAAAAGCCAATGGTGCAGCAAGGGCTGAACGAGTTATCCTTCAAGCGTTCAATATCGAGAAGGAGGGTCCCTTCGCTGTATTTCGTTTTCGACACCTGAGTGTCGTATGCAATCTTGAAACCCATGAGAGGTTGCGCGGATGTGAGTAGCTCGTGAAGCGTCGCTATGATAGCCAATCAAGTGAGTACACATGACTGAGCGTTGTGGTCTCCTTTGCATATGCATTACTTTTATGCAACTTCGCGCGGACCTCGCTCAAACAATTTAGTATTTTTTGAGTTATGGGACATAACGTTGTCAGGCGGCCACAAGCAGTGCGCCGCCTGAAATCTACGGTTTAGGGACTTAGGCTCAAAAACAAGTTCGTGCAATGACGGTACTTTGGTTTGACCATGCAGCAAAAATTAGGGGCACCCCGAGTACCCCTAAGATTAGATATGACGACCGTTGAGACTAGCTCTCGAAATTGATAAGAAGGACTACCTTACCGCGGCGGCGTCTATCTCAATACCGCCGTCTTTAGCTTGTTTCCGGGACGGCCGCCTGCYGAACAGCAAGATGGAGATGGGCTTGGGCGTGGTTCTTTTACRCTCCACAACTGACGCAGAAGTGGGGCATCGGATATCATCAATTTTGGTATCAAAATTAAAAAAGAGAACATGAATTAAAAACAAAACAAGAAAAGAGAAAAATGGAATATTCATTAATTTATTCAAAATCTTTGATATTTGATTTTTAATGGGACCGCCCTCAATTATTGGACTTTCTGACAATAAAGTGAAAAATAAGAAAAAGGGATCAAAGACGATAAAAKAAAAATAAAACAAAGAATTTTCATTATTTAACTGAATTCCATCGGAATTTATTTTTGACAAGATTGCTTTGATTTTCGTTATTATCGATAATGGAACTAAGAAATAAGAAAAATAATTAAAAATAATAAAACGAGGAGGAAACCCACGATTTTACTTAGTTATTCGCGAGGGGTTTTAATTCCGAATCATTTATTTACCCTGATTCTAACAACTCTCTAAATTTCCCGATCATCGAGATTACCGCTTGACTTACTAAACTTACCTGATTTGCTTAAGCGCCACATTGTTCCAATCCGGGTGTTGTGAGTGAGTGCGGGATGGATGCCTGGCGCGGGATTACCACCGGTGCTATTTTGATTAGGCTTCATTGCTTGGGTAATACCGCTGGGTCGATTCGGGCACGGTACTTTGGTTCGGGACAGGCTCGGTATTATTACAACTCATTGTTGCACGGTACGGCACTCGACACCGAGCGGTATAATAACAGTGCAGGCGGCGGTAAATTAGAGCGTTTCTTTGGAACCGGCATTGGTACGGGCGCTAATACAGATTGGCACAGCTATTGGATCGGCATTGACACGAACTGGTACGGTATTGGGCGGTTCGATATTGGTATGTCCTGGTATGAAACTCCGATCCACCTCAGGACGGCTGTGGTTCATTCGTTCGAGGGTACTGATTTTCTTTTTCCATGATAATTGGCTGGAGAGGATTATTTCAGTCACTGCAATTATCCCGCCGACATGGTTTGACTGTGTGAAATAAGCGACGACGGCCGGCTGCATTGGCTTTTGGTACCTTTTACCGCGGGCCCTGAATTTATATTGGTGCTGCTGGGTTCGTGAACTGCTATTACCAAGCCAAAAGTCTAAGTTTTGGCGACATTGTCACTTGATGAAAGGCCTATGCCAAACCTATAGCCCTGGTACCGCTGGTACCGAGGGGCTAGCTCCCGTTTCAGGGTGGGCGCTGAAAGAAGGGGAGAGATTCGAAGGTAACCGTGCCGCAGCTCTCACATGGGGATATAGAGCGACAAACGGGACACCAAGGGGGGAGTGCGCCAGGTGTACCCAGCGAAGGATCGCGTCTGAAGGGGAAAGGGGTCAACGAGCCGCAGGGGACAGCGTGCTCGGCGTACACCTCAGCTAGCACAACGCGTTTAAGCAAGGGAGAACGACGCACCAAGGGGCGGCAGCGAGAGAGATTGAGACAAATGAGACGGGGGCAGTCTCGGATGGCACGCCAGGAGTGCCCAGCGTCAAGTAGTTGCAGAGTGAGGGACGAGCTCGGGGCGGAGACGCGTCGGCGCTCAGGCGATTACTTGCGTGTGTGAGAGAGAAGGGGACTGCACAGCGGGAGCGAGAGACTGTGTGTGTACGAGAGAGAGAGAGAGAGAGAGAGAGAGAGAGAGAGAGAGAGAGAGAGAGAGAGGCAGAGAGAGAGAGAGAGAGCGAAGAGGACTTTGTTCATTGGCAGGTCAATCACTCCCTGCCTATTGGTTGATCGAACAGTCATTCATAGATCAATCACTCTCTGCGTATTGGCTGATCAAAGAGTTATTCGCTAATCAAACAGTCATTCACAGATCAATCATTCCCTGCCTATTGGTTGRTCGAACGGTCAGTYGAACAGAGGCTGGAACAGGCCAATTAGGCGGGCGCGCAAGTCCGGGGTATATGAGAGAGAGAAGCTACGCTGCTGAAGTCAGCCTTTCTAAGCAGTTGTACTCTCGAATACAACACGCAGTATCCCCWAATACAGCTTTGATGACCCTGTGTTCTAATCGAGAGAAACGAAACTAGTAAAGGCACACGAGCGGGACACGAAGACACACACACGCAAAGAGAGAGAAAGTGCCCTAGTCGAGAAAGAGAAAGTTCGCTGGTGATCAGTGGTGGAAAGAAAGTGAGAATGTAAAAAAAAAAAAARAGAGATAWGGTGGYCTGCCAGTGTGCAAAGGACGAAGGATTATGGTTGTGTCTATTGGTGATTACAAGGGGGCCGCCTTAGCACATGACACATCAAGATCATGGACGCGGATCTTTACTTGATCGGGGAACAGTTGCTCGAGACCTTAGTCGTGAGAACACCGGYGACCGTRAGTACAGTACACGGCAAATCAAAGTGACTGTTGTTGCCGTTTACTTTTCCCATGTTCTAGCAACGGGATCAATTTACAGCTTCATTGATAAGTCCCCCAGGGAAATGGCAGTGCGGGCTGTCGTATTCCAAATTATGAGACTTGGCAATGCMTCTTTTCATCATCTAACGGATTCTAACCAAATATACAGTTCCATTTTAGTGAAAGAACGGCCGCGGTGTTTGGGCAGACGGTCATACAACGAGGTATCCTCTAATATCCTAGCAGAAGGCACACACCTCCTTACTCTCCTTGATGGAAAAGCGGTACGGTTGGAC